CGGGGCTCTTCTAGCGCATGGAATAGGGGCCCACAGCTCCAGGAGTCACGAGTGTGGGCCCGGGGGTTTGTATGCGCAGTGACATCGGCATGGAGTGCCTGCCTCATTTACATATATATATATATATATACGTATGCATATGCATCTTTACATGGTCATGTCTGTGTGTGGACAGATGTATACCTATGTGAATCATGTACCTGCAGGTATAGAAGAAAGCATGTGCCAATTTGATATGTGTACACTGGCGTTTGTGTTCCATCGCATGTATGCACATATTTCTGTTCGTATGCATGCTCACACTGATTTATGCTAAGCCTTTGCACACTTTGTCAAGCATATTGGAGTAGCGAAAAGACCGAACAGATGTTTAAGCCCTCTGGCATGTATTTAGCTTGAGTATGTTCGAGTGTTTGCTGCCGAGTATAGGGCTGAAATTGGGCGGACCCCACCCTGAGCCCTTGAGGCCTAAACCCCAAGCGTCGAGCCTCATCTGCGGCGCCGGTGTTAGCAATGTCCACAATACGGGCACAGAAGCTCTTCCTGCTGCAGCTCTTGTCCCTACAACCAATATTGGGTTCTTATCGCTAGCGCTGTTTTCGGGTTAGGGTTTAGGGGTTCAGGGTTTTAGGGCTTAGCATCCCCGCGATAGCATTTACACACTAGTTTTTCTAAGGAGCCCTCTGTGCACTCACCAACATTTCTGAAACGCACACATACGCCATGTAAGCCTGCGCCCAGTCCACAACCCGAGGCTTTGATTTCGGGAGTCTAATATCTGGGCCTCAATAAGTACCAATAGTATGTCGGGCTTCCTTGTGTACAAGTACAGTATACTATACCCCGAAACCCCAGTCTAATTATCAAGGCCCCTGCCGTCATTCTTTGTGGTGGTCTCGTGGGTGTTGGGGTTCAAAGCTCGACGTGTAGGCTTGGGACCTAAAATATTGATCCCGACGGGTGCGGGGATCGATACTGAATACCTTAACCCGCCAGAACCTACTTTTTGTAGGGTCCTTAGAAATCCCGTATTATAGGGTTTATAATAATACGAACCGACAAAAACTGGGTTTTGGTAGGTTAAGGCAGGTTATATCCGGCCTTTTAGAGTTTCAGAGTTGCTGGCATTAAGGTTTTCAGATTTTAGGGCTGTAGTGTTTGAGGGCTTTCGGTCTTTTAGGTGTTTGCACGATATGTACATGTAGAAAGCTTTATAGACAGATGAACACCAGAGGAACACGTGAAGGGTGTATTCTGGGCCGATTTCTAGTGCGCGGATGCGTGAACAGAAGGAAGCCTCGCAATCAATTCCAAGCCACTGAAGCCAAAGCACGCCTCACCCCCCCAAACAACTCGAAAGATCCTAATTACGAGCCTAAAGCAGAGAGACACAACAAAACAGTGTCAAGACCCACAGCACTACGGCACCTTATCAAAACTGCGAAGACAGTTCCTTAGGGTTCCCGTTGCAATAACAATAATAATAACGAACATAATAATCAGAATAATAAAAAATGATAACAAACAATATATTCCCTCAGAGGGACCAAGCCCTTAATTATATTATAGTAATAGATATATCGATAGATAGATCGACAGATAGATAGATAGATAGATACACCCCCGAAGAGCCCCTCAACCGCCTGAAAGCCTAAACTTCTCGAGCCTGGCCAGGGTATCCCAGGAGGTCCGGTAGCCGTGCTGCCAGGCGATGGGGTTCCATCTGGGCGATTAGGACTTACCTAAACCCCAAAAAAGTACGCAGACATTAAATTGATGGGGACTTACCTAAAGAATGATGGCCCTTTATACGTGTTGGGCCATTATGTTGCCTATTTGGGGAAGGTTGAGGTCGGTGTTAAGGTCTCTATGGGGATTATGGTTTATTAAAGGGTTTGGTAGGGAGTCGGCAACAGGTTTTTTTCTGGGTGAACTTAGGGTGTTCTTGTCTGAGTCTGGGTTCGTGTTTGAGTTTGTCAGGTCTTGTGCTTACGGGGCTGAGAATGAGTACCTTTAAAAACATTTCATCCTGAACCCCAAACCCCACACCCTAAACCCCTAAATCCTACTTAATCCTGAACCTGAGGCCTTTTAAAACCCTAAAACCTAAACCACAAACCCCACACACACCCGAAGCACAAAACGCTAAAACATTCGGACGCAAACCGAGCACTCCCCGAGTCCATCCCACCGTTGAAGTCTATGAGAAAGGGGGACGGTCTGGGGTTTAGGGTCGTCCTGAATAGTTAGAGCCCTAACAGAAACAGGTGCTAACAGGTTAAGATACTGGAATCCGACACATCGGGTCCTAAACGGACTCCGCCAAGCTCCCTGCTTCTCCCAGACAAGCTGGCGGATCTCTCCGAAGAGCATGTCTGTGTCCTCTTCCAGAATTCCGGCTTTCTAGATCTAGATCCCAGACGTTGCTTTTGGGAACTTTAAACCGGTGGTGCTGGCAGGTTTGCAGGGGCCCAGTCTGTGAACCTTACGGCCGTACTTTAACCCGAAGCCCGAGACCCCCGAAGCCTGAGTTAGTCTCGAGGCCTTCATAATCAGAATAGGGTTTTGGGGCCCACTATATATACTATAATTAGAACAAGGTAAAATGGTGTTGGTAATTGTTTAGGCCCCTACATTGATTTGAATGCATATCTGGGAGTTTGTAAGGACACGAAAGCCCAAAGGGCAGCTTCCTTGTCGTGAGGCTCCCTGGTTTCTGCAGCCCGAACTCCACCACTCCCAAAACAACATCGGGAGGTGAGGTCGATAAAAGTTCGGGAAATCGAAGGACGAAGCTTCAAACCCAAACATCGGTTTGAAGCGTTTGCACATAGATGTATAGATGGATGGATGGATGGATGGATGGATGGATGGATGGATGGATGGATGGATGGATGGATGGATGGATGGATGGATAACTGGATGGATAACTG